CAAGCAGCCCATTCGCAGGCTGAAGGGGACTTGGTGGTTCATCTTCACCGGTGGCAGCGGCCTGGCAGTCAGCTTCACCAGCAGCCACCACCGGCGTGCATGTAAGTCCTGATAAACCCCCGACTTTCACAGCCAGTCCTCTGGGTTATTTCCTTGGGAATCCAAGAACCATATGCTGAGGTTTTCTGGGCCCTCAGCACTTTGCGTAACAGCAACTAAGAGGCTGGAAAGTTTCTAATAGGACAGGCGCATAGTCATTTCTGGAGAAAGTGCCAAATGTGGGGAAACAACCAAAGCTAGGGCACAGGGTCATGGGGAGAAGTGTGGGGAATTCTTTGTCCCACTTACCTGAGAACAGGGCCAGGCACCTGCTTCCCATAGCGCTGGGACACCAGGAACAGTCTGAGATGCTCTCCAGCGGGACAAGGGTTCCTGGAGTGAATAAGTCCCATGGAAATGAATTTCTGATGGTCACAGAGTTTAGAAGCCAGGTGGCTGATGTTTACCAACACCCTTTAAGCTCTGCCCATCTTTTGACAACAATTCCATGTCTAGGAAATCACCCCAAGGACAAGCTCCTGCAAGGATGATCAGAGCAGGGTAGCTTATAGGAAACACGCTTACAGCCCAATAAATAAGGAATACAAGAGGCACCTGCTGGAATATCCTGCTGGAACTTAAATATCCTGCTAGTCTACTGCAATCAGCACCATCCAGACTGGGAGGCTGCACATACCAACTATCCAGTTTCTTCATCCAAAACTTTTTAAGTAAAAAACACTTAGGGTACCTACATTAAAAGGGACAGAAACCTATCAACAAATTGCAGTGTCTTACTGAATCCCAAATCCAACAAATAATTTTTTTTTTAAGGTTATAAGGCTGGAGATGTGATGACATTAAGGAATGATTGTGCATTTTCCATAGATATGATAATTTCCTCACCAGCCAACTCAGATGGCTGCTCCAGAGGAAGCTATGGGTATGATAAAAGGGCTTTAAAGACTCCAGATCTTTTGGAAATATGTACTAAAAATCTTGCAAATGAAATAATATGATACCTAGAATTTATGTCAAGATATCTGGGGAGGGAAGTGCTTTGGGGAGCAAGTGGAAGTAAAAATGAAAAGAAATTGGTCATTTTTTTAAGAGCTGGGGGAAGAGTCTAGTTATTGTCACTAAATTAGTGTATGTTTGAAAAGTTCCCTAATAAAAGGGAGAGAAAAGATTGTCTTAAAGGTGTACTGTTAAGTAGATAGACACCAAGGGGCAGACATATGTATACTAACATTTGTGTAATAGGGAAAATAATAAAGATGTTACATATATGCAATTAGAAATATGTATACATATATTTCTAATACATTTACATAACAAGGAAACTATCTCCTCTTTTACACAGATGTTATCTATTCTCTCCACAATTGTATATGGCGTGTACACTTAGGCACACAGAGTCATACAGGCCTGTGCACAAACATGTAAGTGCATCAGATGAACATACATGTGTATAACAAGCTTGCATTGGCATGAAACCTTCCTGAAGCTGCCTAAGAAATTCCAAACACCTGTTGCCTTTGAAAACTGAGCGGCTGGGGAAATACAGTTTCCAGGGGCTAGGAGACTTTTCCCACTTTGTCCTTTCAAAATTTGGATTTCGAACCAAGTGAGGGTATTTCATAATCCAAAAATAAGTCTCTTTTCCCCCCAGTGACCTAACATTTGTTGAAACTAAAGACTTGTGCACAAACTTTTGTTTACTCCTAATTAATTAAATTGTAACAGCTGCATTCTCTCCATCCCATTCACTTTTTCTAGAGGAGAGAATAGTAGAAGTACTGGACATCTCTATGAATGAGCTTTTCAGAGAGGACTTTAAAACACAAGGTAGCAGCGTTTGCCATACAATATCATTTCTAATGTAAAAAGTGCTGTGATCAAATCACGTCAATGGGCAGTTGAGGTTTAGGATAAATGTTCCAGTGCATGTTAGCAAAGGTAAGCCACCCCAAAGTGATGCTAAAGGCACCGATGGGAAAAATACAGCCAAAGAGTTTAAATAGTTTCATAAAATGTCACTGGGAAGAAAGGCGGCATTTAAATATGTGTAATGCAAATAATTCAGTATTGTAAATAAAATAATGTAGGAGGCTAGTAAAATAACATGGAAAGCAATCGTGATGTAGCGTTAGGATAATAGCAGGCAGAGCAAAATATAGAATATCACATTTAAAGGAATTATAAATGTCAGTAAGAGTGATTTTAAATTTCTTCTGCTTAACTGTAATTCTAAATTTTATACATTACTTTAGCAATAAGAAAATAATAACAATCATGGAATATTTTAACAGGAGAAGAAACAGAATGGCTTAAAATATGGTTTCTCTCCCTGGCCAGGGTTGCTCAGTGGTTAGAGCACCAGCCTGCATACTGGAGGGTCTCGGGTTCGATTCCCCATAAAGGGCATGTGCCCGGGTTGCACGTTTGACCCTCCACCCCTGGCTTGGGGCACATGTGGGAGGCAGCAGGTCGATGTGTGTCTCTCTCTCCCTCCCTCTTCCTTCCACACTCTCTAAAAATCAATGGAAAAAATATCTTAACTCCTCAGAAACCATATATATATATGGTTTATCTTGGCAGCTCCATTCCTTCTCTATATTCCTGTTTTGACAATACCATTCTGCTTTATCATTGAGTTTGGAGTCCTTCAGGGCCTCCCTGTGGATCAAGTCTCTCTTGTCAGGTGCCCAAGACAACCAGTTTTATTTATTTATTTTTTAATCCTCACTCGAGGATATATTTTTATTGATTTGAGAGAGAGAGAGAGAGAGAATGAAACATCGGTCAGTTGCCTCCCATACACACCCCAACCTGGGATTGAACCCACTACCTTTTGGTGTTAGGGACGGTGCTCCAACCAACTGAGCCACCCAGCAGGGTGACAACCTGAGTTTGAATTGCAAATCTGTAGTGACTAGTTCAGTGCCTCCTAGGTGGTGACTTTGCCTCTGAGCCTCAGTTTTCTCATCTGCAAAATGGAGCTAAGGAAAAGCATATACTTCGTAGTATCCTCATGCTGACTAAGTGAGACGGTCTTTCACAGCGTGTGGCACCTGCCTGGCACATGGCAAGTGCTGAATAAAGTGAACCGTGATGAGGACAGGGTATAATGACGGCGGTGCTGGTGGTGGAGATATTGATAACAGTGATGAAGGTGACGACGGTGATGGTGGTGGAAATGGTGGCTGCGGACAGCAAAGGGGCTCTGTAACAAACCTAACCAAAAGTGTGGTCTGGTCATAAATTCCTAACTGGGCAGGTCATGGGGGGTAGTCACACCCCAGGCATATAAAAGGTTTACCTTTGTCGTAAGCAAGCCCTGTCCGTTGTTCTTGTTAACGCACCTTTGGAGTGCTCCTTTTTCAGACCCCTGGGAAGGGTAACCACCCTCAAGGGAGCACAGAATCTTACTGTCCTGTAACCAGTCATAGAGGTTTCCCTGCTTTGCTTTCTCCCACGGTTCTGTAATCTTCCTTCTCTTTACGTGCCCTCCTTAATTCCAAATGTATAAAAGAAACTGCAAACTGTCATTCCGTGAAGCATTTTTCTCAGTCTTTGGTGACACTGCTTCCAGGTGCGTCCTCTGCTTGGCCCAAATAAACTCTTATAAAAATTCTCTACAGGTTTGGAGGGTCTTATGTTGGCTTGGTGATGATGGCGATGATGGTGCTGGTGAATGAAAATGGTGTACCTGGTGGTGGTAACAGTGGAAGGAGCATTTTGGTGATGACAGTGATGGTGGTGATGATGGTGGATGTGACAGTGATGGTGACAGTGGTGGTCATGGAGCTCTCTCATGTCCCTTCCATGACTCCAATTATAACTACGGCTTTGCATGCTAAGGACTGACCCGTCACCCTGTGATGATGAGAATTAACAAGGGTCCTATGAAGCCCCCACAGGAGCAAAATAGTGGTCTAAGAAGGCCCATTCCAGAAAATTATCTTATTCTTGATGGTCCCGAACAGGCTAGTCACACATTATGTGCTGACACCAAACACGTAAATCAAATTTTGCTGAAGATACTTCTCTTAGCTCTCTCATTTTTTTAAATTTTTTTTATTATTATTATTTTAAATATATCTTTATTGATTTCAGAGAGAGGAAAGGAGAGGGGGAGAGAGAGATAGAAACATCAATGATGAGAGAGTCATTGATCAAGCCCACAATCGAGCATGTGCCCTGACCAGGAATCGAACCCCAATCACTTGGATCCTAGGTCGATGCTCAACCGCTGAGCCACGCCTGGCCGGGCAGCTCTCTCATTTTAACTTCCTAAAAACATTTATGAAATTTCTATGACAGGCCAAGAGTTTACTAAGAACTTCAATGCTGTCATCTCTTGCAAAGCTCACAACCCATTCTATGATGTAAATTTCATGACCCCCATTTCTCCGATGAGGAAATTGACGCTCAAAGAGATTCTATCATTTGCCTCGCTTGCTCAAGGTGATGCTGCTACAAAAATGCTAAACTAAGACTTGGACAAAGCTGAGCTGGCTCCAAAGCCATTGTTTAAGCCCCACACCAAGATCCTGAACCCCAGTGCTCCCTAGGACCTAAACATGGAATATAAATAAGTGAGGCCATTTGGGGAAGCAATGGGGACTGTACAGAACTGGAGACAATGGGCTCTACCTAAAAACATTCAAATCCACATTTTCTTTAAATGCAAAACCAGTGGGCATGCTCCCTGACTGAAAATCAAATTCTATTCAGAGGACTTATACTCAGTCACCTCCTACATGCCTTCCCTTCTCTCAGTATTTGTTTGCCTTTGGGGTTCATGTTTCTCTTTCTCTCCCAGAATCTTCTCTAAAATACACTGGAAACTCCCGGCATAAAAAAGCCCTGTCTTGATAAAGACAATTCTTTTTTGAGGCCTCATTTGAAACCAGTTTAAATGGGCACTTTATGGGAAAGAGGTGATTCTATTTTCCAGAACAGCTAGACCTCTAGCAATGCTGATTTGGGGTTTTTTTTAACCACTTTCCTGAGGTATGATTGGCATGGAAAAAGCTATATGTGTTTAATGCACAGACCTCAATGAGTCTGGAGAAAAGTACACACTCGTGAAACCATCACTACGATCAAGGCCATAAACATACCCACTGCCTCCCAAAGCGTGTCTCCCTGCCCCCCTGTTTTTAATCTTCACTTGAGAATATTTTTTCCATTGCTTCTCAGAGAGAGTGGAAGGGGGGGGGAGAAACATCGATGTGAGAGCGGCACATCAATTGGTCGCCTCCCTCACTTGCCCTGACCGGGGCCAGGCAACCAAGGTACGTGCCCCTGGCCAGAATCGAACCCAAGACCCTTCAGTCTGAGGGCCAATGTTCTAACCACTGAGAAAACCAGCCAGGGCCTCCTGCCCCCTTTATGATTAGTGTGTGTGTAGGGGCATGTGTGTGTGTGTTCATCTTCCATAATTGAAACTTTAGACCCTTTATTTATCACCTCCCATATTTTCCTCTCCCCAGTCCCTGGCACCCACTTTCTACTTTCTGGCTCTTTGAGCGTGACTCCTGTAGCTTCTACATATAAGTGAGATCACACAGTATTTGTCTTTCTGTGTCTGGCTGAATTCACATAGATGTCAAGGCTGATTTGCAGAGAACTGTGGCCATGACCCACTGTAAGAAATACATTTGCACCAGAGAGACGGAGAAAAAGAAAAAGAAAGAAAGAAGG